GGCAACCTCTGCCCTTGAGTGTGGTACAGTGTGAGTTCAGTTTGTGTTTAACTGTGCTAGTGATTTGTGTCTGTCAGTAACAAAAATATATATATTTCATGAAAATCACACAATCACAATTGCCACCAATGCAAATAATATGGGTACATTAAATCCCTAAATAAACTTTGATCCATCTTTATAATTTCTCAAATTTACACAAAGCCTCTATCACTTTCAAGTTATTAAGAAATTAAAACGTCAAAACTGAGCTTTTTACTAAAAAACTTCTGGCGCCTAAAGGGTTAAAAGATTCAGGTGACAATGGAATTTATGGACATTTATGGACCAATGTGTTTTTTCCATTGCATTTCATGTGTTTTTACTGTTTTATTCTCTGATCTGTGTCGGTGCAGTCCTCTGAGATAACTACTGTTGTGATTTAGGGCTATAAAAGCAAAAACTTGAACTGAATTGAATTAAAATCTACACCAAAATCTCCAATAACAATTGTTCTTTCAACATTGACAGTTTATTCCAGTGGGTTATTCACATCCAGAACCTGCATTGACTTTTTGACTGAGGTCCACAATAAAAAAAATCGCAAAAGCACATTGATTCTCCTCCTCAGCGCACATTCCATTCATTCACAGAGATAAGCGTGGCCTCCAGACACAGTCCCCCATCCCTACACCTGCCCCCCTCGGACCCCCTCGGACCCCCAGCCCTGATCCCGGCTTCAAACCTCCTCTGAGCCCCTTACTTCTGCCCAAACACCGGGTTATTGTCTCAAAGATCCAGAAGCTAAAGCCCCATTGTGCCACTTTACGTCTTCAATTAGACGTGAGCCACAGGGGAGACTTGGCAGTTTTAATAAAGCTTTAACTCATGATGTTAGCTAGCATTAGCATGAGTTAGCTTAGCATTTACGTAGCATGTTTCAAGACAACCAAAGTACTTCACACTCTCTCCACACTGGGCGGTAAGCTACTATTGCTGCCACAGGTGCTCCGGGACAGACTGAAATTTATGGTGATAGTTGTTCAACCAGAGAAAGCCCAGAGCAGTCAATTTGACGGCTTTTAGTTTAGGATGTGTTTTGTGTATGTACAGTATATTTTTGGTCTTCTGAACTTTGTGACTTTTTCTGTTTTTACATGTAGTTTATTTATACGTGGATGTATTTTCCTGGTCTGGTTCTGGTTCTAGACTGGTATTGGATTTGTTCTGGACGGGTTCTGGTCCTGGACTGGTTCTAGACTGGTTTTGGTCCTGAGCCAAGTTTAGTTTGGTTTTCCACCAGAGAAAACCAAACTAATAGCAACACATTATTTAGCAGCTAGCATTCGGTATTAGCATTAGCCTTTCAACAAACTGTTTTAGCTCTATTCAATTCAATTCATTTGTATTTTTGTAATGCCCTAAATCACAACGGTATTTCATTTCGGAGGACTTTACAAAGTCAAACAGTTAAAACACAAGAAATGCAATGATTAAAAACACATTTGTGTGGCAGATGACCAATGTTAAATGTCCTGAATCATAACCACTGTCCTTAGTTTGAATTTAAATGTATTCCTTAGAAGTGTTTTTTATTCTTTACTCTTTATTCTTTATTTTTTATTATCTCTCTCTGACTGTTGCCCTGAGCCAAAGCAATTTCCAAGTCTGTGACTTCCTGTTACTTACGTGGCAATAAAAATTATTCTGATTCTGATTCATAGACCCTCCTGCATCGGCTCAGGGCGACAGTAGCTCAGTTGGTAGAGCATTGGCCTTAAGCCCAGAAGGTCGTGGGTTCAATTCCCACCTCTGCACCTTCTCCACCGACTCCCACTGATGACTGCTGTCGTTGTGTCCTTGGGCAAGACACTTAACCCCACTTTGCCCAAAGCCCCCACTGAAAGATCAAGGCTATGCTCACACTCAGAGCAGCCGTCCTCCTGTGGACTCACCACCTGCAGAGGATCAGTGAGGGGCTGGGCTCTGTGACTTGGGTGGCATCTCTGACTGCCACCCCCCTGACCCAGAAATGGATTAAAGGGTAGAAAATGGATGGATGGATGGAAAACGTAAAAAAAAAATAGTATAAATTATTACTTTACATTTGGTGGAAAATAATGTTTTGGGAGGATTTCTCAGAATTTCTTTGGTTTGAAAATTAAACTCGACAGCTCGGGAAGTCCTAGTGCTAACACAGTCCATGATAACTGTTTGTAAAGGAGAAGAATGTGTTTCATTTTCGTCGCATTTATGGCTTTTTTCTCAATCAAATTATGAGTCAGTCTTTTTTAACATTACATTACCTCTTTCTGAATTGTATAGTCTATTGCAGCAGCAGAGCAGAGACAAGAAGAAGAAGAAGGAGGAGAAGAAGAAGAAGGAGAAGAAGAAGAAGAAGAAGGAGAAGAAGAAGCAGGAGAAGAAGAAGAAGGAGAAGAAGAAGCAGGAGAAGAAGAAGAAGGAGAAGAAGAAGAAGAAGAAAAAGAAAGCTGTGGAGGAGGCAGTACTAAATCTTTGATAGAGTTTATTTTTCAAATTCAAGTAAAGGGTTTTTTGGTTGTGTCATGATACTGAGAGCTGATTGGCTCAGTGAGAGCGGCCTCCTCAAATCAAAAAGCTGATCTAAAATGTGACAGAGGGCAAAGATACATATGTATGTATATATATTTAAACTAAGATAATATAAACTTATGTAGTATCTGTTCTCCTGTGTGTGTTTTTGAGTTTTACTTCCTGTGGATTGTTGGCCCCGCCCTGATGTGTTAAACCTGTGTCGTTCCCTCTTGTTCTCAGTCCATTGAGTGTTAGTTCCGTGGTTCTTCTTTGTCTCCAGCTCCTTTTTACGTTTGTTTGAGTTTTGTTTTTGTTTACTAAATTATTATTTTTGCAGTATTGTACTTGGAAATGAGTAAAAATGTAAAAAAGTGACAAAGATAGTCTTTCGTGCAAGGTAATATAGTCAAAATGAAAAGTGACTATATCAGTGTGAGTTTACGGTCCTAGTGAAAGTACCGAAGACTTTTTAGGTGAGAATTATATTTTCATTACGTATGTTCTTTAAACTATTTAACCGGGGGCTACTGAGTTTGCATCATAGCTCTTCTCTAAACTCTCTTCACTAAACTTTCTTCTCTCTCTTGTGGTTGGTCCGAATCACGTCACACTTTTTGGCCTTGATCCTTTGGCCCTGAGTCTACACCATCCGTCAGAACAGTCACCGCGGCTGAGCAATGGCATTCCTCCGGCTCCATGTATTTCTATGTTTAACTTCTTATGTCACGACCCCCCACCCCCCCGGCCTGACCCCGGAGGCGAAAACAAACGCACTCCTTCCGTATACGCGCTACACAAATAAACACGACATGTCCAGGTGCGGCGTGTCCCGGTGATAACGCCGTGTTGACGGTGAGAGATAGAGAGGAGTCTGGGTTAGGGCAGAGACAGCGGCAGCGATCGATGGGTTTGGATCTGGTTTCTTATCGCCAACGCTAATTAGCTCTGACACGGGACAAGGGACGATGGTGTTGGATTAGAGGCTGAGGTTACCGTGGCAGCGGCTTCAAATCAATTTAACAGAGACAAGTTTTTTGAAAATGATGAGAAATATTTACACAATGTTATAGTAGTAACATGTAAGATTTTCATATCAAGTTATCATTAAAGGGCCCTAATCTGTCATAATAATAAACTGTTCTTTTCCAATACTTCTTTAACTGATAACAGCAGTTCAGAGATTTTAGGTTTACAGAATGAGTTTTCCAGCCCCTAAATCTTGTTATTGTTTTCATTTCAATCCGCCCTCCACCGTTTCACCAATCAGAACGTCTGTGATCCGGGCGCCAGAACTCACCGCGTGGAGCTAATCTCACTGTTAGTGGGTAAATAAGTAATGTTTATAGCACATTTTACAGACCAAGGTCACCCAAAGTGCTTTACAATGTTCAGAGTCAGATATTGTTCCAATCATTCCACACACGGTGATGACGGAAGTGAGTCCAGAACACACTGACCGGAAACCAGAGCACCCAGAGGAAACCGGAGCACCCGGAGGAAACCGGAGCACCCGGAGGAAACCTACGCAGACACAGGGAGAACATGCAAAATCCAATCAGAAAGGCCCTGTTCCGACCGGGATTCGAACCCAGGACCTTCTTGCTGAGAAGCGAGATTGCTATCCACTCAGCAACCGTACTAGTAAAGTACCATGTGGTAAAGTGCCATGTGGCGCAGAACTAAAAAAGGTCTTCTCAAATCATTAACGACAAAACAAGGAATAAAACCAGGATTTCTATCTTTGTGAAAAAGGTGTTGGTTATAGATTTGTTGTTGACCAAACTCTTGTCTATTCAGCTGTTATGGTCCCAGCTGGATTCGTCTGCATATCTGGCAACCTGAGTCAGGGGGAGTGGGAGAGGCTGCAGTACCACTTTTGGCCACATTTTTACTGACTGCTCCTTCAAACGAAACAGAAATTATTGATTTTGTATTTTTCTGGACTGGTGCTTTTCTTTGTGATGTGTTTGTGTTTTTATCATCGGTGCATCATCGGAAACTGCTCAGATTAGATATATAGATAAAAGATAAAAGATGAAGTTTAAAAATAGTTGGAGTTTAAAACCATAAATCAGGGGTCATCAACTGTATTTGTCAGAGGCCAGAGTTTTACCAGACCGAGAAAATTAAATCAGATTCAGATTCATTGTATTTGCCATTTGCAGTAAAACCACATTGGAATGCATCCGCAAAAGTCGCCAGTGTGCACAAGACAAATACATACATAAAACAAACAAAACAGGAAATAATTGTTGCTGTGAAAATGATCAAAGTAAAACAGTTTCAATACAAAGGCAAAATCATTACAGTGCTTTGTTTAAACTGATCTCAGCTTGTGAAAAGAAGTCAGAAGGAAGAAGCTGGAACATCTCACGGATTTTAATACAGCTTGTATGTAGTGATACACATTTTTATGAACTCATTAGAAAATAATTCTTTAAGACATTCTGATTGACATTTATAATCTGTAATTTTGTGTAACTGTATGTAACTGTATGTCTTTTCTGGTTAAATATAAAGAAAATATCTATATCTTAACATTCTTACCATGTTTACCTCCATTATCAGACTGGTATAGATTCACCGTGCGGCCCTAACCACTTCATTATTGCGGTAAGCCGGTCCCACGCCGCACCTGCCTCGGACCAGGACTTCTGCCGATCCCGGACTGATAAAACTCGCTCCCATTACTCCGTATGGATCCCCTCTTTGTTCCCTAATACCCAGAATCCCTCACCACTTCACCCTTTGACCGCCGTGACCCCCAGGGGACAGCTGCCGCTAGCTCTAACCCACTCACTATGTAAACGCAGATTCCACTGACGGCTGCTGGGGTGAATAGGTGAACAGCAGGGGGCGGTGTTGTCAATATTTGGGGAATTTGTTTTTGTTATTGATTATGAGAGAATGTTGATGAGAGAGGTTTGGCTCCGGCTGCAGCGACAGAGATAGGTCGATAAGCACTGAGCAGGAGTGGACTCGGTGAACGTTTAGATTTGAGAATTCTAAATGTGTTTTTGTGCAGCCGTACGTCGCCACAGCTGCCATCTCGGAAGCTCAACGACAGATTAGAGAAGTTCGAGGTTTGATTCTGCTTTGTGCATCTGTAATGAACAATGGAACTGGCAGAACATGAAAAAGACTTAAGCTTTAGACTCGATTAAATGTAGCGTACTTCAATTATATTTATTTTTGAATCTAGTCCTAATTTTCATCTTGATTCCTCAACAACAGATCAGAGAATCAAGCAGTTTAAACACAGCAAATGCAGTGGGATGACCACTGTCCATAATGTTAATAAATGTCCATAAACATCCTTAGCGCTAGGACTCCCAGAGCAGTCAATTCGACGGCTTTTAGATATGTACTTACGCAGTGTATCAACATGTGTTTCTGTGCCATTATTTTTATGAAAGGATCATGTATTTTTTTAATTTGATAAATCATGTTGTATTCTATGTCAGTTAAAGCCCCTTTGTTTCTGGTCTGGTCCTGGACTGGTCCTGGACTGGTTCTGAGTTGAAAAGCTGGTTTATGCTAGTTACCATAGCTAGTACCAGTTTTAGCCCTTATTAAAAGTGATTACGGTTAAATTAAAATAGAACAATATTTATTTTCAATTCAAACTGGTGGAATTATTTTAGAATCCCATTGATTTGAATGGGAGCAGTCAAAATGACGGCTCTGGGAGTTCTAGTATCTTCATAATCATGGGGGTGCTAGTTTTAAATGTCCTTAGACTCTCCTGTATCGGCATGGCACCACCGCCCATGCTTCAAAACATACACTATACTTCCCCTTTAAATTGTAAACATGTGATGCTAATGTTCCAAATCGGTTGATTTTTGGGGTTTGACACAAAACATTTCTAGACTATAAAACCCTGTCTTGACTTTCACACATGAAACAATAATTAGCCAAAGCGCCGCACGGACACGAGCCATAAACTCAGCTAATATTTACTGCGCCCGTGTCATAAACATGTGAAATATCGCCGTGACGACAAGCGTGCCACCTCCTCATTATGCTAAGTGATTGCGCGCTAAAGGCTAAAGATGAAATAGCGACTCCCAGTTTACCGTCAACCCCTACTATCAATTAACGCACCTTTCTCTTCATTACATTAGCGCGTGAACTCGCAGCCCAATTATAAAGATTGAAATCGTAAAAATTCCTGGAGCGAAGCCTGGTCTCAGGGTTTAAGTAAAATGATGCTAACCGTGGCGGGAGAAGGCCTCGTTAGCTCGTTATGCTGTCCGCGATTGGAGCGTCTGATGGGAACCTTTTCACCGCACGACCGGGACCAGGAAGTGCGGCTTCAATTATCCAAATGAACGAGGAAACCTTTAACACCGACAGAGACACACTGCAAAAAATGAAGAAAAACAAGTCAAAAAAAGAGTTAAATTATCTTGTTTAAAAAAGATACAAAAAAATGTCTCCCTTGGAATGAGGAAATAAATATATCTTGTTTTAACACAGTAAGAATTGACTCAAATTAAGATAAAAAAATAAATAAAAAAACACTGGATTTAACCCATTATTTCCTCATGTTTTATCATTTTTTGCAGTGTATACTTGTCAGCAGTTGCTCTTACCGGAAAAACGATGGTGCGGCAAAAACAGGGATGCGGTAATCGGGTTTGGCAGTGTCCAATTAACAGAAGGTTGATGACATATACACAACCAAAAACATGTCCAGGGAGTCCAGGGTTTCAGACTGGGGGCTAGTCCTCAGGTCCAGGGAGTCCAGGGTTTCAGACAGGTCCAAAAACTGGCTAAACGATACATTTTAATCTTAATCTCATCTTTATTCTTTATATAAAGAGAACTGAGTGCACTTGGAAACTCAAAGTACCTTTGAAATGTATCCTCAATGAAGCAGACCCAGACCCATGTGAGAAGCTCAGAGACCTACAAGGGTCTGGCCAGAGTCAGACTAAGTCCTTTGGTCCACGCTACAAA